CAAATGGGGGTGGGGAAGGAGCTAAAATCAGAAAAGCAGAAAGCGAAAATTTCGATTTTGCGGATGCGGGATACGCCAATTTCTGACTAACTCGTGGGTTCCGTTTAGAAAGTCGAAAGCGTCTGCGATATTCTGGAAGGTTTCCAGTCCTCACCCTGTCTGGTGGTCCATTTGAGCAGAGAAGAAACTGCTGTGTACATAGTCATACATCAGGTGCTGATTGAATGTAAAGTAGAAATTTTATGTACATAATTTTGATGGGACTCAAAATTACGTCATCAATTGTATCTAATAGCATACACAAAATATTAAATTACCGTTGGTAAGTATTCTGAGAAAAGCTAAAAACATAGTACTTCTTGTACCTATGTATGTGACTTGTTTCAAATGCGTACATACAGCCTAAACCTTGGGATGTATATGCTTAATAAAAGGACACACATTTGGTAAGAGTCAACGTGTAGTTCTGTTCAAGAGATTTACAGCGCTGAAGCAATGGTCAACCCTTTTATATTAACGATCCCTCCAAATTCATCATCCTACTGGAGCCCTAAATTGGGATACTGGTATCAACTCCATTTTTTTCACACAAAATAAATCCTAATGTCCACCTATTCAAATGTCTTGATCATAAATGGTTCAACAAATCTACCCTGGTAAAAATTGGCTATAAGAACTGCGTTTCAAAATACCATACGAATTCTTATAGCCGGCTAAAGAAGGCTACAGAAAATCATATAGCTGGTTGTAGAATGCGGAGAAAATCATACGGCCGAGCTTTACGAAGCGATAAAAAATTATGCAGCCGGGCTACAGTTCCTATCGCCGGGCTTTACACTTTATCGCCTGGCTGTTGCATTTTCGCCATCGATTATAGAAGGCTATAAGAAATTGTGTAGAAATGCGTGTGCTTTGGAAATCATTAAGTTTGATACGGAACCACCTTAATATTTACAAAATACACATTATATTTTCCTTTAATACATATTTTTTCATCAATTAAAATGAGAGTAATTCACACAGGATGTGCAAACATTTCAAACCATGAGTTGAATAACGCTGACTGCGCCAGATTAAATATTAGAGCCTGACACAAAGCGGAGCGGCGACGCACTGGCGCCTACAAACCTAACAGGGATACTTCACGCATTGCGCAACGCGTGAAGTATCCCTGTTAGGTTTGTAGGCGCCAATGCGTTTCGCGCTGACTGCCCGCCTGCCGCGCCGCAGCGTGCCACGGCGCTTGAAGCAACTATTTCACACCAGAGGTATTGCACAGTATCATACGAAACTGAAGGTGCTCTAATATATTAGGAATGACAGGCATCCATCAAAAGTACGGAGCTTTCCCCGCAATATAAATCAAGATACTACGGCCCAAAAAGAGAGCAGTAGTCTAAAAACTCGCCAAGTCCTAGCATTTGTAATTAGTAACGTTTAGCATACACTTTATCGCCTGGCTGTTGCTTAATCGCCATCGGCTGTAAAAGGCTATGAGAAATTATGTAGCCGGCTATAGAAGCTATTGGAAATTTTACAGCCGGCTGTAGGTCTATGTTATTTTGGAACACAGATTCTACTGCCAATTTTTACGAGGGTATGATTGTTAAATGGACTGTTAATTTACATTTTGGACTCCAACACGATGCATTAGACGAGTTGTCGTACCACAGTTAGAGGAACATAACTACATTTCAACGTTGTAAAATTTTTCCTCGCAAATTTTATTTATTTACAAGAAAACGATAGAGAGTTTCTGATTTAAAATGAAACGGATTTATCAATTGACTACCTAAAATAGCCAGCAAAATTTGGACGGAAATTGAAGGATCATGTTTGTGTAAAGTTTGGATTATTTGAGTAAATTTTGAAATCTTGGAGTGCAGTTACTTTTTTTTTACTTTTTTTTTTTTTTTTTTTTTTTTTTTTTTTTTTTTTTTTTTTTTTTTTTTTTGACTGAAGGCAGTAACTTGGCTTCTGGGACAGGACACGGAATACATTAAATTGCTGATTTAACAATTCAATTGTTAAACAAAGTGACTGCAATGTTTCAATGTAGATTTTACAACAACAAAATGTTACTTCAACCACCCCTCTGATTGAATTAGCTTAAAATAGTTGTTAAAGTAGCATTTTCTTGTTGTAAAATCTACGTTGAAAAACTTCAGTCACTTTTTTTAGCAATTGAATTGTTATAATAGCAATTCAATTTTTTCCGTGATGGTAAAATCTACCATATTTTATTTCAGTGCAATCACAATAACTATATGGGGTCTCATAGGAGAAGGGGCTGTTCAAGTACGACTATAAATTCGGCCAGTAAGTAAAAACGACATGACGCATCATAAAACATGAAAATTGAAAAACGAGATAAATACAACGAGCTCGATGATGACTGGACTTAAGCTGAGTATTGGTGAGATAACGAGAGGAAAAGCCTGTTTACATTTTCAATACGGATTATCAGCTTGTGGATTACTGAGCCTTTTGAAGCTTAAACAGGATATTTGCGGGACGGGATGTGAGTCACTGACGGTTGAGCTTTGTTTCATACTGTGGGTTGACTTGTGGATGAAATAGGATCGTCGAGAGGTCATTGCGACCGGCTATACTCTTTCTGGTTTCAGAGAAACACGCGTCCGTTATATGCACGGCTGCGTAACGCACAAACACGAGTGCGTAACTCACAAACACGGCTGCGTATAAAGCACAGACACATACGGCTCTCATCATAGCTTGTAATTTTTAAACGGATAAAAACCATGATTTTTTGCCGATTTCTCTGCAACCGTTGATTTGTGGCAGGATTTCTCAAAGAGACCTTTCAAGTGTTACGTAAGCCGTATTCAACGACATTTTGACCCATCATTCCTATAATTTTGAATTACTTTGACCCTCCCCCCCCCTCCCAAGAAAAGGACAAGCGGGAAGCTTTAATACTCAGGTATCAATCAGAGAAGCTATCAGCGGTCGCCGCGATTTTAAAGTTTTTGAGCGGTAATTTACTTTTACCTTTGTATGTTTACAACTGCTTAGTATTACTAAAGAGTATTTTTAAGTGATTAATATCAAATCCAACAAAAGTAAGTCAATGACAGGATTTTACGCTCTTTATTTTTGATGTAGAGTCTGCGACACTTTATGAAATGTCCAAAGAAAATGTTTTCACATAATTTGTGTAAGGTTCCGGCATAATGTGCCTTAGGATTGAAATTCGAAATATCCGAGTGCCTGGGCCTGGCAAAAAATCCGGTTTGACGTCAAAATTATCGATTTTCAAATTTCAGAGCTAACATTATCAAAAACCTTCAAGAAAAGTTTTCTTCTTTTTTTTCTTTTTTTGTAATATTTTATTCAATGTTAGGTACTGCACACTGTATTATAAAACATTTCATTAAATTATATACAATAAAAATGTAGTGAACGTATAACATATGAATACACTATTTCCTTATACACGGGGAAAGTAAAGAGATGATGCGATAGCATAATAATATTCAATTTAGTTTACTGTATAGTTAGAGGCTCATATTGTAAGATTAGAAACACTAATCAATCCTCAGTGAAGTCAGCTCCCATTGCCAGTCAAAAGATCAAGCAATAATTTGCCTTGTAAATGATGTTTCAAACGTTTGAAATTATTTTCTCTCAAGACAGATTACAGTTTACAGACAGATTTCAACAACATATTCCTCAAAATCCCTTTATATGTCTTCAAACGTTCAATCACCATCAAAGATTTAATATTTGATATTTTAGGAAGTTTTTTGTGCAGGATGATACCGATTGTAACCTTTCTGAGCTGAATAGTTACTTCATTATTTCCTGTGCCTTAAGATACATTTTACCTATGACCTTGCCGCGTTTGAACTGAGATTTATAAAAATGCACCGTCAATTTTGTTTTTCTTCAAATCTTTTTTTTGAGGGGGAGGGGGCTGAGTTAGGAGTGGTTTTGAAGTCATTTAGTCGTTAATTTTCTCCTGTCAAAAACTCAAAATAGGGAAACATATTTTAAATGTAAAAACAGTTGCTTAACATTGTCCGTAATAGTAAGTCCGATGTAGGTATAAAACTTTCAGCTTCTTTTTCTAGATTATTTTGGATGTGATTTAATTCTTTCTGCTAAATTCGGTTGATTTCAAAGTCTTATCGAAGTCACACATCTGGATAGTTCTGTCGAGGGTAAGATAAACGCCATAAGAACCTCGTAACGTTGTCTTCTTCTTTTAATTTAAAACCAATTCCCTGAGAAACCTTTGATTATCTTCTTTCTGACTTTGCAAGGTATTTTTTGCAAGGCCCTTTCGAGCCCTAAAAGCTCCATTACCTAACCTCCAAATTACCAACATGCCCGTACTCTCCCTATATCTGAAGAAAAGTACCAATAATTGTTTCCGAAAATAAACACTTTATAGTAGGAAATTCAGCAACATACACAGGAAAAAAGTATCACAGTGCTGACTGTACTCTTGGCTGATTTTGGCGTCAGATAGAAGTAGTTGCACTACCCAGAGGTACGGTTGATCCAACCACACTTTCGGCAGATTCAACCGTACCTCTGACTATTCCAACTATTCTAATATCTGGCGCCAAAATCAGTCAGGAGTATAGTTGGGAATGTGATACTTTTCCTCCGTGTACGAATGTTCGTACGGCGTTTTTTCCCGCCAATACTGCCGTTCTAATGGTCCAGTTACACGATCAAATTGAGCCATCAAATTGAAGCTCTGATTGGTGGAAAAAGGCCTGAGGTGAGGATGCCAATGAGAGGCCCAATTTGATGGCTCAATCTGATCGTGTAACTGGACCTCAAGGAAAAACACCGTATGAACATTCGAGAATTTCCGAATTTTACCGGATAAGCCGTGTATTTTTGAAGAAAGTTTCGTTTAAATTTCCCTTTTAAATTTTCAGATATTTCAGATTGAATTGCGAACAAAATTGTCTAAAAAATTTGAAGAAAAATGTGCATAATTTCCCGAGTTTATTCGGTTTTTATTGAAGGGGATATGGCAACGCCTAAAGGCTCATACGGCGTTCTTCCTTAGCACGGCAGAATGGCCACACTGAAAAAAAAAACACATTGGATCTGGAGTCCAGACTCTTGAAAACGCTGCACTTCATTTCCACACATATTTCCGCCCGATTTCATTACCACACAATTTTACGTTTTTCATTTCCACACACTTTCATTACCACACAGTTTATTCTTCTGCACCATTTGGCAACATCTTGTAGCGCGCTGCGAGAATATAGAAAAGAAATACCGGCACAAGTTATAAAAATAAGTAAAACAAAAATTTATAAGGGCAAAAAGTACTCACCAGCTCAGAATTAGGGCAGAGAAGAAGAAGAAGGAACATCTGGATCATCTTCGCAAGCTATTTGATCGCCATTGTCGTTATTTTTGAAGCTATGCAATTTTTTAATCTCGCCCAATTATACCAAAATATAAAAACCATTTCGAAATACGCGCATGCCTATCGGCTCGCGAAGATCTGCTCCCAAATAAAAGTAAACATTTCTCATTTTCATCGTACACAGTTGCCAAATAGTGCATTATTGGAAAGTGTGTGGAAATGAAAGTGTGTGGTAATGAAAGTCACCAAAACTGTGTGGTAATGAAATTGTGTGGAAACGATACGCAGCCCTTGAAAACATTGGCAAGAAAAAATACTCTTGATTCAATTAAATTTAAGCTTAAATCAAAAGGAAATCCGCTCAAATTAAGAGGCTGGGTTCTTGGTTTGAGCTTAAATCTGATTGAATCAAGAGTCCTTTTTCTTGTCAATGTTTTCAAGAGTCTAGACTCTAGATCCAATGTGTTTTTTTTCCAGTGCATCTCCTCGTCCAAATACATTGCTTGTGACAGAAATTCAAGGTCTCTAAGAGACATTCTCTCTTATGATTGGCTCCCGGTCGTCCGGCTCCGCGGCCTCCTCCTGCGGCGGCCTTTTCTTGAGGCTCTCATCTCCGGGCTCCTGATTGGCCGGCTCCGAGTCGGAGGCGATGGACACGGAGACGATGGGGAGTTGGTGCTCCTGGCGCCAGGCGTAGCTGTGGACCCGCGTGGGGAGGAAGTCGGCGCTCTGGGCCTTGCGGAGGTTGGAGGGCTCCAGGGAATTGAGGTTATGTTCGCTGGTGAAGTCGCCGAAGGTCGGTCGGAGGTAGATGGCCGAGTTGATTCTGGAGCGCGGGAGCTGGGGCAGGTAGCTCCGGCGACGCGCCAGCCAATCCTCCTCTAGACCGCACTGGTGCAGGTGCTGCTGGAAAATCAATCGGAAAAATCAAATCAAAATCCAATCGAGTTGATGGTATACAGGGTGTCCCAGGATTAAGTACGAATATTGAAGGAGTCGATTCTTTGGGTCAAAAGAAGACGTTTTTGTGGTATAACCTTTTTTTCGAAAACCCTTTCCGTGGGGGCGCCATTGTCCCCCTATTATCAGCTCCTATTCCCTGTTAAAGACGATTTTTTTCCTCCAATTTTGGGGAGTCGTGGCGCTCAGGGAAAGCGTTTTTGGAAAAAAAAATTATACCTCAAAAACGTCTTTTTTTACCTAAAGAATTGGCTCCTTCAATATTCGTATTTAATCCTGGGACACCTTGTATATCTAACCTCACACGTAAGAAAGTATCACAATCTCAACCAGCCGTGCTACGGAAAAACGCCGTATGAACATTCGAAAGTTGCCCAATTTCCTCTGATAAAACGTTTATTTTGGAAGGAAGGTAGGCATATTTGTCCTCGACATTGTCGGATATTTTAGATCAAAGTGGGAACAATATTGCCTGCGGGCCGATTATTGAAATTTTGTGTTTGTCGGATGGCCATAGATGAAATGGGTTAAACGGCGGAGCGTGATTGGTCGGCTATGTCTTATCGCTGCTTTGTGGTGGCTTTGTCAGGTGGAACTCACGACAAGCTAAAGACACCACTTGAGTTTCCGACAGTATGTCGTCTATTCCACCCGATGAAGGCACGACAAAGCAGCGATAAGACGTAGCCGACCAATTACGCTCCGCCATCTAGTCTATGTCATCTATGTCCACCCGACAAACACAAAATTTTAAAAATTGGTCTGCTGAAACGTTGGAAGAAGAATACTCACAACTTTCCCATTAAATTAGTATTTTATCAAAGGAGATTTGACTTCATCAGAAGGCTCATACGGCTTTTTTCCTAAGCACGGCAGAAAAACCCCTAGCTGATTTTGGCGCCAGATATTAAATTAGTTGCATAAGCCAGGGTTAAGTCAGGTGAAAGTGTGGTCGGATCAACCGTACCTCTAGCTGGTACCATCACAGTCGGAATAAGTGCGGTTAGATTGACTATACCGCTGGCTGGTGCCTTCACATTTCTAGCTAGTGCAACTACTCTTATGGCTGGCGCCAAAATAACCTGGAGGTACTCGTACGTCCAATTATGTTTGAATGAACTGGAATTCTTTCGCATAAGTATTCGACTAAACTTTATTCAAAAAGTTCTCTAGTATTGCTCACAAAATTTGAGCACGGAATGATTTGTTTCACGGCATATCTCTACTCTTGTAAGAAATCTATTTTACAACATTATTTGGTAAAAAATAAATATCTATCACACAACCAAGCACAGTGAAGATTACAGCATCAAATACCATCATACATCAAAATTTTAAGCAGCTTACGGTAAGCATATTTGAAATTAGAGTTCTCTTTGAGAGGATTTAGCTATATGAATTAACCCTCATAAAAATTTCACAGATTGCTCTGGGCAGAAGAAACTATTTCGACTCATGGAAGCAAATCTTCGAAGACTGAACTTTTCTTTTAAAAGCACCCCTCAAAGTTTAAAAAAGACATGATAAACATCAAAATTTGCAGTTTTAGTATAAAATCTGATGTGCGACCTCTTGAATTGACTCGATCCACTTTGCGTCGTCTCAAAGCGACAACAGAACGCGTTTTCCTTCAATTTAACAAATTAGGCAACTATTTTAACGCACGAGCGCTAATTTTGCTAACTGGGAATGAAGGCGAATGATGCTCCGTACCATTACAAGTGGAATCCAATCAGCAGAACAGTTTATTTGAACGATGGAGCAAAAAAGGATATTACACGTCAAAGTAGGTGAGTATTCCATGGATAGATCAACTTTCCTCCTCCGTAAACGCAATCAAATTAATGAAGCACTGATAAACTTAATCCGAAATCCCGTTCATAAGTAAGCTGTGCCGCGTGTGAGGTCCTCTGAAATCGGGATGATTCAATTTAACTCTCAAATTCTCAAGGACGTGCATCTTGGCTGCTCAACGGTGTGCAGTTGATCCTTGCGTCGTGTATTAAACGATTAAGTTAGAAGTAGTAGTCATATACTGGGCATTATCACTTGATTATGAGCTATATGTTAAGTACTTAGAGACTGATACCATATATTTCAAAGACAAAAGTCAATACTTTATTCATTTCAAAAGATACCACATTTTTATAAAGTGCAGAGTTTTTGCAATTTTGACGGTTGAAACTATATGAGGGACTTTTTGAAATGGAATTTACAAAGATAGTTCGTAGTTAAACTACTTATTACTTTCAAAACATTGAAAATTTGAGAGCTCTTTGTACAAACATAGAAAACCTTGTGAACTTTCAACATTTGACTATCTGCTTAGGCATTTGGCAAAATGACTGATTTGACTATTTGCATGGGGCATTTATAAGTTCCTGAGTAATATCGGGAGCTTTTCCGGCAAAGTTCCTAATTGCTCCTCAAAGTTTGAGTGATTACTGTGTTTTTGTGCATAAGTGTATATTTTTCTGTTCAACTTCCCGGACAAGTAGATTTTAGCCAAAAATGTTCGACAACGGAAAAATTCTCACTTAAATCTCTCTCCAGAGCAATAATGATTCCTACTAGAAATTTGCGCACACTAGAAACTACAAATAATTGAGACACAACACATTAAACATCAAGTTGTGCCTTTTCAAATCAAACTAATTTGATCTACTTGTGTATTGAGGATTTGAGGAGACAGTGAATGCCTAATTTGAATTGCTACTTTTTCCAATTCGGTGCTAAACAATCTGTGACACAAAACTCTGCACACCTACTTTACATTACGTTAAGCATCGTTGATATCCATACCTTTCTATAGTTATGTATTGTGAGAAAGCACTGACTTTCAGACCAAACTTTCGAGGTTCCTATAGCCTTTAATGAAGTTGTTAATAAAAATAAACAGCAAACATTTGGTACAACTCTCTACCGTAGCGGCAAGGATTCGTCCCAACCCTCTACCGTAACCGCAAGGATTCGGTTACCGCAGATATCTCAATATTAGAGGGAGGTTTTGCACGATTAGATGCTTGAGACCATTACATGAAGTATATCAATGAGCCTACTAGTTCTCCTGTCGATTTTAGTCATTACTTCAGGAGTCACTAAAATTTCGGTGTGATCTAGTCCATTCTATCATCAATGAATAGGCGATGAGGTGAAATGCTCTAGAATACTTCCACTGACTCCAGTGTAAATACTTCAGCCAAAAATATGCTTATTATCACAAGGACTTACTACAAGTTTTACTCCAAAAAAAAAAAAAAAAAAAAAAAAAAAAAAAAAAAAAAAAAAAAAAAAAAAAAAAAAAAAAAAAAAAAAAA